GCATTATTACGCAACATTCGGTAGGCATTTCATCCTTGCATCCTGATAATAAAGTGGTATTTTTTTCTTTCCTATTGGCCTTCGAACTTTAACAAATACTGAAAAGCAAAGGGCATCGACTGCTCCCTAATAGCAAGTCGATTGCTTAACCCTTTAGCTTTAAACCCTCGCCCGATCGGCTTTGCTTTGGCGCGATACCTCCAGATTATCGCAACTAATCACCCGGCCCTCGAAGTCTCGAGAATAAAGGAGCGGAGTCTATCGAAATGTTACCGGGTGCAAAGGCGAGGAAATTATGATAATAGGATCAAGGAGTGATCTTTTCTCTTATTTTGGAATCGTTAGTTATAATCGTAAATCAGAATTTTCTAGCATGCACTTCGTTGTTATAGATGAAATTGTTTATCACAGTTGCCGTAGTTCTAAACATTTTTGTATTCATACTGCATGCTGAAATGCTGTGTGGATGCGTGTGGATGTACACGTGTAGGTATTTATTCATAATGCACGCATGCATCACAGGTGTAAGCCGGCCTTTTATTGCCTTCCCCCTCGCAGCCTACAAAAGAAAGCGGCATTGAGGCCGCCCCGCCCGCTCAGCTGGCACTCCATCTCGGTCAACAAAAAACAAGAACGCTCGATTACCAATAAGGACTTATAAGCTACCAACCCCCGACCTACTTGAGCTGATTGCCCGCAAAAAAGGATATATATTAATTTCTCCCGGCGGCGCTCACCGCTTCCTCCCATCGCCTCATTACTCAGCCAACCATTACTCACCTAGGGCTCGGGATCTAAACAGCAATTCACTCATTATCCTTCATCTTTCATTTACACAAGGTGAAGAATCTCTCCCAGTGTCCCTCCAGTCGTTATTTATTCATTATGCACTTTACATTATTTTTATGTATTTTTTTCCAAAATTGAACGTCTAAACTGCGTATAGATAGTGTAACTATTCAACAGCATTTTGTTACACTTATATGATTATAAAGGTAATATTGGTTTTGCAGATAGGAAATATCTCTTTAATAATAACTATAATACTTACGGGGAAGAGGAATGATGATAGTGATGATGATGATGATGATGATGATGATGATCATCATCATCATCATCATCATCATCATCATCATCATCATCATCATCATCATCATCATCATCATCATCATCATCATCATGGTCAGGAGGAGAAGGAGGAAGAAGAAGAAGGTGAGCAAGATGAGGAGGAAGAGGATGATATTGATGATGATGATGAGGAGGAGGAGGAGGAGGAGGAGGAAGATGAGCAAGATGAGGGGGAAGAGGATGATATTGATGGGTGGGATGATGGTGATGGTGAGGATGATGATCAGGAGGAGGAAGAGGATGAGCAAGATGAGGAGGAAGAGGATGATATTGATGGTGAGGATGATGATCAGGAGGAGGAGGAAAATGAGCAAGATGAGGAGAAAGAGGATGATATTGATGATGATGTTAATGATGATGATGATGATGAGGAGGAGGAGGAGGAAGACGATGATGATGATGCCGATGGTGATGATGATAGAGATGTATACGAAGAGAAGAAAACAACCCGAGCTAGTTTACTAAAAATAATAAAGAGGAGCTATTAAGGAAATTAGGAGATAAAATTTGTTCATACTGAATAAACAGGAAAACAAGGGAAACACACCAGACAAGAGAATGTAAGAAAGGAGGAAATAACAGTACCTCAGAGACATGGCTCAATAGACTGCGATAAGATATGGATAGGGATTAGCAAAGGAGACTCGAAGGGGCACAGTGTGTCTTGAATATGCGTCTCACAAGAGAAATCACCAAGAACAAATTGTAGAAAGCTCCACAAAGATAAATAAGTATGTGTAGACTATGCGGAGAGAAAGGACTGCAGACCGTTTGGTGAGTGAATGTACATTAAAGCGAGAAAACGAGAGGAGACATGAGGATGCTGCAAGGTATATCCACCAGCAATTGTGCTCAAAGGAAAGATCTCAGAGAGCTGTCAAGAGGTATGAATAGAAACCAGAGCGTATCTCTGAGAATTCTGAAATCCTGTTGGATAGAAGACCAGACACTGAATTTGTAAGCAAACAAAAGAAGTAAAGGTAAACGATGTTGCAGTTCCCGGTGATAGCAATGTGGAAAAAAAGAAAAGCAGAGAAGGGAAAACAATAAAAAGAAGAAATAGAAGGTACATTGAATATGAGAGCAATAGTTACAAGTTAATTGGAGTTTTTTAGCGTTGTTTCGAATAATGTAGTGTAAGAGTCACGGTACCAAAAGAAGTCACAAAAAAGACGGCGCTGCTTGGATATTGCGGAATGTCGCGTTGGGTCACTGCGGGGAATTACGTATCCTTCGGGGCCTCCTCCCTCCCGCTTGCGTGGAAAATATTCACACAAGAACGCCAGTTGTCTGTGGCATGTAAAATCATTATAAAGATGATAATAATGATAATCGTCATTATCATCAGCATGTAATTATAATAATAATAATA